AAATCAGGTGCCTAAGGAAAGAATAAAAGCAGTTCTATTTTGGCCAGTCTTATGAAAATAGTCATTATTTCTCCCTTCTGTGCACTCTTCAACCAACAGATGTCACTAAAGATACCAGAACCCAGAGGCAATGGGAAAGGAAGATTAGACAAATGGAAATCGAGCATAAAAAACATCCAGTTCTTAAAACTGAGAAGTAGGTTTCCAAAGTAATAACATTTATTACACTGCATGTAACATTTTAACCAAAAATTTAAGAAAGAAATGTCTTTTATTAAGTTGCTTAGGCTGAATGGATCATAGCACTAAGTTTTGAAATACATGTTCTTGAAGCAATTTAAAACTCATTAGAAATAATAGGCTTGGGCTTGTAGAAAATGTGGTAAAATTTAATCCCCATCCAAATGTTACCTGGGCTGTACAAACAGGAAATTGTTTTGTGCTACTGTGGCTAACCTCATTGCTGACCCTGAGCTGTAACGGCAAGAGCAGCTGAGAGCTGAAGCAAAATTAAAAACTTACATCAAAGTATATCATGACAGAATGTAGATAAATAAAACAGCATATCAAAAGTATTATTTTTTCTGCCAGTCTAATAGAGCAGTGAGGTGAAGGTACTCCACAAAATGTATAGCAAGTCTGGTGCATTTGGAAATGAGTCCTTTCCCCTCTGCACTGCTCTAATCATTGACTACCCAAAACTGCCCATGAGAGGCTAAGAAGACACCCAGTGAGGTTGAAAACAGAAGGGAACACAGAACGTTCTAGCCTCTTCCCTCCATGGACTTCCCCTCCCTTTATCTTGGCTTACCAAATAAATAAATAATGCTGGTTCTTCTCTGTCCTCCCATTCACTCTTTAACTCACCTTCCAGACTCTTAGACGGCAACCATAGGAGTACCTTCCAATGTGCAGATTAGAATTTCCAGAGGTAAAAGCATGAATAACATAACATTATATAAGGTAAAGACAGACAAATCAGATTGGCTGATGGGGGACAATACAGGAATCATTGGAGGTTAGGAGACATTTCTCTATTATTCTATGTGAAGTGCATGTCAAAGTCACTGGTGACACAGTTGAAGGACATTTTTCTACTGAATTTTTGATTTCCCTTAAGCTTGGGATAGATGTCACCATACTTTAAAGAATAGTGTTTCATCATAAATATCCAAGGTACAATCATCCTGTGTCAACTCCCAAGAGGCAGTAAAAACTATGGAAGTCATAATGGCTTTGGGTGAAATTCCAATTTAACTACTTGCTAGCTGTGTAATATTTGGCAAAATCTTTAACCTTTATGAGTTTCAATTTCGTAACTGGTTTCAAGGTTTTCCATACTTTTCCCAATTGAATTCCCAAAACCATGTTACAAGGTAAGTATTATTTCCTCTTTAACAAGAAACTGAAGAGAGGCTAAGGACCTTAACCAAGGTCATATAACTAATGACTGGCATATAATAATGCCTACCTCGAGGATTCAATAGGGTGATGCATGATAAATGGTCTGATGTAGGAACGTAAGAGTTCATTACAAAACGGAAGCTACCAGAGCCTGACTCTAATCTCTTAGTCCTTTCTTCAGAGAAAGAAAATGCCTTACTGGCTTTTCTTCTCAAGAATGTTTTGAAAATCTTGTCTTTTTTCCCTCTCCCCTCACTTCTACTTTCCTTTCCTTTTCTTCCTCTCCTCTGCCTCCTCTTCCCTCTTCAATGTAATTCTCACATATTTTCATGACTTTTGCTGCAAGGTCTTTGTTTATGCCAGACAACCCAAGAGAGGATTGGATAGCTTTTGGACTAAACACATATTTAGCACTGTTCTATGAGATTCCTTTCAGTGTTACTTGCTGGACATACATTGTGTTCTAGAGAGCCAGTGACGCTGGAAAAGGAAGTAAACTTCTCTTATCAGCCCCAATGCAATAGTAAACATGCCCCCAAAGAAAAATACAGTTAATGGAAAAAAAAAAAAAGAGAGAAAGATCCAGAAACAGGAGCAGAAGCAACACAACTGTAAATGGTAACAGGAATCTAATAATTGCATAGCTAAAGATTGATTAGTTACTAAGAGATTCTTATACATACACTGACATTTCCTTTAAAAAAGTGAAAAAGGTTGGGCTCAGTAGCTCAGCCTGCAATCCCAGCACTTGGGGAGGCCCAAGTGAGTGGATGAGCCCACGGGTTTGAGACCAGCCTGGGCAACTGGGCGAGATCTCGTCTCTACAGTAAATAAAAAATTAGCCGGGCATGAAAGCGTGCCCCTATAGTTCCAGCTACTTGGAAGGCTGAGGCGAAAGGATCACTGGAGCCCAGCAGGTCGACACTGGGGTGGCCGTGAGTGTGCCACTGCATTCCAGCCTGGGCGACAGAGTGAGACTACAACTTAAAAAAAAAAAAATTGAGAAAATAAAAACTCAGCACTGGCTATGGATAGAGGAAGCAGGACAGAGTGATTCAAGCAGGAGGCACTGCTGAACAAAATAATGATATAGGTCAGTGAATCCCTACCCAAAGAAGGCTGGCTTGGTAGGCTATGGGTTCAGGAGAGGCACATGCAGTGAGTATCTATTCCATGAGACTCCTTGTGCCAGGCATTTTAGTCAAAGTAGCTCAATTAACTCTCTTAATCCTAAATAGGCAGGTTGGTCAATAGGTATTTATTATTCCTACTTTTATACATGAGAAAAATAGCCACAAAGAGGTGCAGAATTTTAGCTGGTATTCAGATTTTTTACTCTCCTAAAATGATATTTTTTTCTAAAAGTCATACCGTTTTTGGGAAAAGGTCCAATCTAAGTAATTGAAAGGAATTAAATATACACGAACATATGGCAAACCATATTTAGAAGACTTTAAAAGAAATCAATTTTTACTTCTAGAAGGCAAAGTATTTCTACCTTACATAATTTTAATGTTTATTTCAAACAGGTATACACGTCACAGGTACTGATGAAAATAAGAAAGAGTACAAGTTTACTGTCTTTATATAAGTGCTTTCTGTAGGTTGCATAACACTGAAAGAAATCTCACAGAATAAAGCCAAATCTATGGGCTTCAAAAGCTATCCAATCCCATACTGGGACTGACAAAGACAAAGTCATTGCAGCAAAAGTCCAGAAAACTAACTATGTGAGGATTACACAGGATTACATACACTAAAAATCTCAAATTCTATAAACCAAAATGCAATTAAATTAAATAATCTTTAAATTTTATTTAATAAAGACAGGGTCCTGCTATGTTGACTGGGCTGGTCCTGAACTCCTGGGCTCAAGCAATCTTCCAGCCTTGGCCTTCCAAAGTGCTGGGATTATAAGTGTGAGCTACAGTGTTTGGCCAAACTAAACATTTTTAAATGGAGGTCTAAAATGTATACAGATCAGAGCCCCAGAATGTGTTTTGTGCTTAAGTAAAAACACTTTGGAACACCTGCTACACCTGCTTGTCTCCTTTTTTTTTTTTAATAGGTTTTTACTTTTAAAAAAGTAATATACTTTCTTTTTTTTGAGTCGGAGTCTTACTGTCTCCCAGGCTGGAATGCAGTGGCATGCTCATGGCCACCACACAGCCTCGACCTGCTGTGCTCAGGTGATCCTTCCACCTCAGCCTTCCAAGTAGCTGAAACTACAGGCACATGCCAACTGGCTAATTTTTTGATATACTGTAGAGATGAGGTCTCGCCAAGTTGTCCAGGCTGGTCTTGAACCCGTGGTCTCAGGCAATCCTCTCACCCTAACCTCCCAAAGTACAATGGTGGTTTTTACACACACACACACACACACACACACACACACACACACACACACACTTAAAATAAAGAGCTTTACAAGATTCTATAAAATCTGTTTCTAGGCACTCAAAAAAATATGAGAATCACAGGTAATTTCTAGACCAAATATACTCAGAGTTTGCTGTTGACTTGGGAAAGTAAGAACAGGGAAAAACGAAGATAAGAAAAAGACACAGGGAAGCATCTCTCAGGAAGAAGTACACTGCACAGAGCCCAGCTTAGATGACAGTCAGTCAGTGTGTATCAAATTAGATTATAGAGGTTTTTTTTTTTTTTTTTTTGAGTCAGAGTCTTACTCTGTCGCACAGGCTGGAATGCAGTGGCACACTCATGGCCACCCCAGCGCTGACTTGCTGGACTCTGGCGATTCTTCCGTCTCAGCCTTCTAAGTAGCTGGAACTACAGGAGCACACTACCATGCCAGGCTAATTTTTGATTTATTGTAGAGACAAGGTCTCGCCAAGTTGCCCGGGTTGGCCTCAAACCCACGGGCTCAGGCAATCCACTCCCCTCAGTCTCCCAAAGTGCTGGGATTACAGGCTGAGCCACCAAGCTTGGCCTATAGAGAATTCTTATCTATCATATCCACCTTCCCTGTCTACATAAAGTTCTCAGAGAGTAGAGAATTTCATTGATGAAGCTGTCAGATTTGGCTTCAAATGCAAGTATTAAGGTTTATAGTAGTTGTAAGGTCCAAACTGTAAGCCAAATTCTAAAATTCTTGGACTATAATTGCATAAGACAATCTTTACTACAGAACTCTGCTTTTGGGGTGCAGTGACCAAAAGTTTCCTGTAATAAAATATTTATTGCTCTTTACAAGGATACTTTACCAAAATTCAGTGACATATTGGTCTAAGCATTCCTTGAGCCAAGATAGCAAGCTTCCTGATATAACTTTGAGCAATTTTGAGTATGCCATAACTTTTCAATATTCTATCTAGTATATTTCCTTTATCCACTGACACTGCAATTTTATCCAAAAGAAATTCATCAGGTTGGTCAGGCATGATTTGCAGTCAAAGGCATTCTGCTTACTTCTCCTGATGCCAATATGATAGCTACCTGGTTTTTCACACTTCTATTACCTACTTCATAAATTCACACAGATATGAATGTTCAAAAGAACAAAATAACTAACATCTTTCTTTCCTCCAAAGAGATAAAACTATATTGCAGAGACAAATATGGAAAAAGATACTCACCATAAGTGCAAACCATTTTACTAGCTTCTCTGAAGAGAAGAATTCCATTAGGAGATGATACATCAAAATTCAAACGCTGGGATCTAAGAAATACAGCAAAAATCTTTATTATATGTGCAGATTAAGAAACCAAATATAGGTTTAAAATGTCCAGCATTATCATTTACTAGAAGCAGCAACAGTATAATTATCTCTTAAAGTGTCATTTCATTCAACTTTTGATAAAATGTGTGCTAATTTTCTCACTATAATGATATGACAATTAAGATGATTTGCTGACTCAAATAGTTCATTTTTTATCAGTCAAAACAATATCCTGACAGCCTATATCACAGATTTTTTGCCCCATCACTTTTCATGCAGTGGTTGGTGGATAATAATAATAATAAACTCCAGTTGTGTATGTGTAAGCTTCTATAAATACTTGGCCATATATTTAGTGAGAGATAGATATAGATATTTACATTTCAGATCTCCTATAGTGCTTGACACACATTTTAAAAACAAAGTGGTAGGAAATCCAGGAACCTTTAATATTACACATGTGCATATCATCTGCCACTTCTAGCATATTGCAAACACATTAAGTTATATTAACAGTTTCCACTGACTGCATATAGCATAAGTAAAGAGAAACAAATCTCTGAAGTTCTATGAGGAAAATTACAGGGAGCTCTACTTCCCTGATTCCTCTAGGTGGTGGTGGTGGTGGTAGTGGTGGGGTGAGGAGAGGAATAGTATGAACAGGGTAAAGGACTAACATGCCATCCTGATGTAGTATTCTCTCTCTTTTTCTCTTTTCTCCACCTAGAAGACTGTCCCAAGGCAAGCATTTGCTTTTTTAACATCATTTTGGCTTTCAAAAAATAATGGCATATTTTAAAAAGGGTTAGCAAAAATATTTCAAAAAGTGAAGACACTGCTAAAGTATTGTTTGCCAAGAATAGAATTGTTGCTTTTCCATGCCTTTTCAAAATGCTTTAGTATAAAGTACAATGATAATCTATCAGAAATATTATCATGCACATTTGACAGCTGGCATACAAATCCTGATTAAAGAAACGCATATGCAAAATTCACACTGGATTCTAGACAAATATAGACAACATTTTCTGAGACAAGAAATTTTCACTAGGTAGCTCTTAGGACAGCTGTGCTAAATAAGAAGTATCTGCCCGTAGCGGACATAAAATACTTTATAATATACAATGCAATAATTTTTTTCCTTTAGTATTAAATATTATATCAGTGATATATAATGTTAATATCAATTATGTGATTGAAAAATTGAAATATAATTTAAAAAGCAAGTACATTTCTAATGTAAAATACAAAACTATCATTTGTTTAATATTTAAGGCACCGATGAGGGTGGTTTTTAAAAAACCTACAGCTTTCAAAAGAATAATACATTTCTTTACTTACCAGGTCTTCTCCCATCACCTCTTGTTTTAGAGTAAAAATTTTAAATTATTGCCGTGAAAAACTCAGCACCAGAGATAAAATTAGAGCTGCAACCCATATTCCTTCCCTGTCTGGATATCTGCCTTCTAAACACGCAGTTTACAAAGAGGAACTGATGAAACAGGACAGCTAAGTGACAGGTAATGTGGCACCAAGTCATATTCACAATGCCACATTTTAAAGAGGTAAACACATTTAGCTTATTGCAGTTGTTCTTTTTTTACCTATATATTTGTTAATACTTATATGTAGAACATTTACATCTGTTGGTCTGTGCAAATTATAAGATCAATTAAGCAATTTCTGAGAAGTGCTGTAGCTGCTATTTCACAAAAATTGTGAGAGCATAAATCTTTCAAATACACACATCTTGACATAAAGAAAGAAGCATAATTTAGAAGCCTCAGAGCTTCTGAGGTAAACAACTATGTGACCATGATTTGCTCTGGAACAGTTTCCTATTCATCAAAAGAAGCATCTCAACTCAGAGACCTCTAAATTTCTTCTCTGCTTTAAAGTTCTATAGAATTGCATTTAAGCAGTGAAATAGTTAAAATAGCTGCCCTACTTCCATTTTGTGCCTTGGAATATTTTGAATAATGGTGGCTGCAGTCTTCCAGCATATTTTAGATTTCCCATAGTTCCCATGTACAACTAAGTATACTACACTTCTTCCTCTTAAAATATTTCAGTTATACATCTCTAATTCTATTTTTACTGAGCACCTTAAGTTTTGGTTCCTGGGTTCTTGCTAAATCCCTTGAAAATGCACACATCAGGAAGGACAGCCTGACCTCTGGAGAATTCTAGATTGTTTTTTTTCACTTCCTGTCACACAGCTTACCTGTTTTGCATCAGTTCTGCCATAAGCTTCAAGATGGGAGTAGTACACGCTGGCTCTCTATACCATCGTTCGACAGCCCTCTGAAGAATGGGAAGATATGTTGGGTACCTTTTACAAAGCCTGTTAAGGAATTTAAGGGTCCAAAGAAATATTGCTACTGAAAATTAGTGCCACTTAAAAAAAAAAGAGAATCCATATTTGGTCTACGTTCATGCTACACAATGGCAATTTTATGCATTGCTCTTCCTAACCTACACAGCTATGCATACATTTTTGGAGGGCCGCAAGTGATTTGCTCTAATTTGCAATAGTCAATACATTATATTGCTTTATCCTTGGCGTACTGTGTAAAAGACACAATGCAAAGTATACGTAGCACATTTAAAGAATTATGCTTAATGTCATAAAAAAGGAAAATAAATTTAGTTGATGAGGATAAAGTTATATTTAGGTTATTATTATCAGTTTCTTGGGAGTACCAAACTACTTAGGAAAAATATTTTTATTATGAAATTTTTAAAATACATAAAAGTAGAGAGAATTAAAAAAAAAAAAACCACATAGTAACAATAAACCCCATGTATCTATCTCCCAGTTTCAAAATTATATTATTCTTCATTTTAAAGTTGTTGACTTGCTCTGCTTGGTCCCATTGTAGCTCTAAGGAGCATCTGGGATGTTGACTTGACGAGAAGCTTTGGGTAACTTAATCTATGCAAGGCCAGTGTTGCTAAAAGATAGTCCCCAAGGAGAAATCTTCAAACATCCTTATTAGTACTAAGGAGTGTATGCCTCTGATAAGTCTATACCAAAGACCATAAGAAACTGGAAAACTCTGACACGGCTCCACTGGCCCTTTAATCTACAACTGGCTACTTCCTTCTAAGTACACAGATAAACATAAGATTAAGGCCCAAAACTACAGCAGAACTCTGACTATGCCTCTGCCTCCACTTCCCATTCTCTTTCCCAATCCTCAAGTCTTTCTTTTTCTGATGTTTTCCAATGGACTTGTCATTTTGTTTCAGATGAAAATTCTGAATGGAATCACTTAATGGTGTTCCTTTTTTGTGTGGTCTGGGTAGAAATCTCCATGATGAAGGAAGGGTCACCATAATTTTCTTCCCTACTCTTAGAAAAAGTTTTCAACTCCCTAGCGTGGCATTTGGGGTCTTTTAAGAACTGGCCCCTGTTTACATGGAGCTCTGCTTCTTGTCACTTCTGCTCTTTGATCTGGACATTCACATCTCCCTGCAAATCCACCAATGCCAACTCTTGGCTCCATTCCTTTAGATTCCTTCTTCTGCTGAACACATTCCTGCCTTTCAATACTTAAGCTCAAGTTTCACTCCCTGGCATGTTTCCTCTATTCTGTCAAAATGCATCAATCGCTTCCTCATCTATATCCAATGAGCACTCTTGACCATACCTCTCTTACAATGCGGTATATTACGGCCAGTTGTTTGTGTTATCTTTCTTCCCTAATAGACAATGAGTTTCTAAAGGCAGAGATCCTACCATCTCCCTACTAATTTCTATTTGTCCCTCAGGAAGCCTTCTTTGACATCACATGAACTTACCCCCCATATCCTCTTACTGGCTTAAGAGTGTATCCTATGTATGGCTGTGGAACTCTATGCTAGCATTATCATAGAACTTATGTATCTCTCCTGCTATAAGCTTTTTGAGGGAAGGCACTATGTACTTATTGTATGTGTGGGCCTGACATAAAGTAGATTTCAATAAGTGTTTGTTGCTATAAGCTTGCAACCTAAAAAAGAAGTGTAGAATATTTGACTATAACTAATTTTTTAACTTCATATTACACTTTGAAGCTTTAGAAAATAGTTTACATAATGTTCAATAAAAACAAGCCCTCTATAAGTTTAAGCATGATGTGTCCTCTAAAAGTGCAAAAAGCGATACTTTCTCCCACTAGAGATACCATGTTAAGACTGAATTTGTATATAATGAAACAATTTCCTCAACAACTATTTACTGAAGTCCTGTTCTATGACAAACACTGTTTTAGACTCTCTGGAGACAGCAGTGAACAAAGCATTAGAAAATCTCTCATGAAATTAGACATTCCTCATGAAATTTATATTCTAATAAGACAAAATATAATATACAATATGCTAGAAAGCACTGTCAAGGAAAATAAAGCGGAGGAAATCAGAAGTGAGTGAATATGTGGGGACGAGGTTTCAATGGATAAAAAAATCAGTGATCTTGATCATTAACTTTGACTGTTGTCAAAATGATAATTTATCGTTTTGTTTTTGTTTTTTTCCTACGTGCTATGGACTATGCTATGGGACAGGGACCCAGAGTTAAGGAAGATATCTTTTATTCTTTTTTTTTTTTTTTTTTTTGAGTTGGAGTCTCACTCTGTCACCCAGACTGGAGTGCAGTGGCCGCTCCTGGCCACTGCAACCTCGACCCACTGGGCTCCGGCGATCCTTCCGCCTCAGCCTTCTGAGTAGCCGGAATTACAGGCATGCACTTCCATGCCTGGCTGATTTTTTGATTTATTGTAGAGATGAGGTCTCGCCAAGTTGTCCAGGCGGGTCTTGAACCCACTCACCTCAGCCTCCCAAGGTGTGGGATTATAGGCTGAGCCACCGAGCCCGGCTATCTTTTATTCCTGGGGAATTCATGCTCAAATCAGGGTGACAGACACATAAAAGGGATGCTTTGGGTAATAAAATTCTGAAGCAGTACCAGCACAGGTGAGAAAACATTCCACCAAGAGATCTTCTGAATACAATCCCAGAGACCATTAATGGAAAAGCTTCTGAAAGGTTCATCACAAAACTAGAAAGACTCAAATCTCAGAACCTCAGAACCACATACATGCCTCTTTGCAAGGCATTCTATAAAGGCATCAGAATCATCATATTTTTCAGAGCACACTGCATTCACTACGGAATAAAGTCAGGAGATATGAGGGGATGCTCTCTTTTCTGTGTGGAATGAGAGTGGTGCCAATTCTAATATGCTTCTGACAGAGGTGACCGCCACAAAGAAAATGAGTGATTACTGGAAAGCAGAGTGGAGGTCTACTAAGCAGGGAGGTTAAAAGGGCTTCAGAGTAAGAATGCCAAGTTCAGATCATGGGGTGAGAATCAGAACCCAATCTAGGAGTTTAATTTTCCAGTGGCCTTGTGAGGACTATGAATATATAGACAGGAAGAATAGAGTGAGAGACCTCTGGTAGAAGAGGCACAGACCTAACTGGGTTTTCACCTAGATCTTCTCAATGAATTCCTAAGGTCTACATCAGGAAAACGAAAAAGTAAAGGCATTAATGATATCCAATGACTTGTAGGATGCCAAATACAAAAAAGGGCAAAGTGTCTCACAACATTCATCCATTCATCCCTCCATTAGTTGTAATTGCTATGTGTTGGACCTCAAGAAAATAGAAATGAGTAAAAATATAGTTCTTTCCCTCTGGGATTTCACAGCAGAGAAAGTATTGCAATATACTAGATGGCAACAAGAGTTGTGAAAAGTGTCAGAAGTTAAGAGTTTGAGGATGTGGTTCCAGAACAGAAAGAGCCTGCCAGTCAGAGCTTAAAGCTGCTCCACGAACAAGCAAACACCTGGACCTTTTTTCATGAAAGGACTGCTGCTGGAAGCCTTTCCTCTCCTGTCTGGCAAAAGCCTATCCATTTATCAAAGCCTAGCCCAACTTTCACTTCTCCTGGGAAGCCTTCCCTGTTTTGCCAGAAACACCCATCTCTCCCTCATACACATTCATATGACCCTTTGCAGTCATCTTCATTATAACCCACTAACATTTAATTGTTTATTAGTTATTTGTATATCCATGAGATAGTGAGCATTTAAAGAGCAATTATCTTATTCATTCTTGCATTACTTCTGCCAGGTACAGAACTGAAGCTCAGAAAATGCTTGCTGAACGATGATTTTTCAGTTTTACTTTCTTCTCTTTTTCAGTTTATCCAACATAATATTGCCTATTACTTTCTTCTGGAATACAATTCTGGTTCTGTTAGTCAATCAAAACTGTATATATTATTTTATACTACCTATGGAATAAAGGTCTAAATTTCTTAGCCTGATATTCCAGAGTCCTAGACAACCTACATTTCCAACCATGAAATAAGTGGTATCTATAACAAAACATCTCCACTACTCCCTTCTTAAACTTGATGTTTACGTCAACTGAAAACCTGTCTTCCTATTTCCACTTGGTCTAATTTTACTTACTTGGTTAGATCAAGGGCAACATCTTCACCTTTCCAGGGCTTTTCCTGATTTGCCAACTCAAAGCAATCACTCTCCTATTTGTATCTTCATTATGGTACTTACCACTTTTCTGTATTTTAGTATAGCCATTTAGGTAGATATCTGACTCATTCTATTTGGGGTAGGATTTGTGTCTGAATAAGTGAGCCAACGGGATTCCTTTGTCTCATTACATATTAAGGAATGGAATGCACAGCCATGGAGTATTTACTTTATGTCACACTCTGTACTAGGCCTTTATATAATCATAGAATTACACCAATTCTTACAACATACTTGTGAGATAAGTATTATTAGTCTTGTTTTATGGAAAACTGTGATTTTGTGATATTAAGCAACTTTCTCAAGACCCACGATTGTTAAGTGGGAAACCAGAACTGGAATCTATGACTGTCTTATTCCAAGGTTTGTGCTCTTCTACATATCTTACTGTCTTGCATTGTCTTTGTATAATGTGTTTATGCATGTTAATAAAGAACACTAATTTCCTAATTAAAAAACAGTGGGCTCAAAGATCAGGTTATGACAATTAAAAGACCAAGTGTGAGAAAATAACGTCCTGTGAATTCTTTTATTTTTTTTCAACTTCCCTCTGTGTGTGTTTGTGTAAATATAAATAAACATATATATTTTTTTGAGGTGGAGTTTCATTCAGTTGCCCAGGTTGGAATGCAATGGTATAATCATGGTTCACCGTTGACTCAATATCGCGGACTCAGGCAATCCTTCTGCCTCAGTCTCCCAAGTAGTTGAAACTACAGGCATGTACCGTCATGCTCAGCTAATTTTCTGTAGAGATGAGGTCTTCCTAAGTTGGCTAGGCTGGTCTCAAACTTCTGGCTCAAGCAATCCTCCTGCTTTGGCCTCCCAAACTGTTGAGTTTACAGGTGTGAGTTACTGTGCCGAGTCTTGGATTTTTGATATTTCAGTTTAAGTATGATCTAGGAAAACTGTAAATAAGCTGATTAAATGCACTGCAAGATAAGGTATTTTCTTATCATGGTATTCCCACCACAAGGTCAAAGAAGTATGTCAATGGTCCTCTTTCAATTCTCCAGTAGTGGAATCATTTATTAGGATGGTTGCTGTGAAGTTTCAGGCAAATTAGTTCTGGAAGGAAATAGTGATAAGCAATGTAGTTTGTGCAGCAGTTAATGCAGTCAGTGTTTATAGAAATGTTTTTGAATTAAATAGCTAACCACTAAAATAGCATTTTATCAAATAATCACCATAAATAAAATGCATTTTGACTTTAAGATGACATGCGCTCTTACAAGATGTTTCTTCTGCATGCTAAGAATTGTATAACAAATTAAAGAACACACATTTATGTGGATAAAAGGCAAATACACTTTTCCCAGCAGTAATGTGGGAATCATCACTGACAGTTTGACATATCAATATTTCAGGAAGAATAAATGACTTTCATATCCATGGTTTTTTTAATCGTACTTATTCATTTTTGCATTACTTGAATACTTTGGAAATAATCTGTACTTTATCACCTGAAACTGCTTAAAATATTTCAAAATATTTTAATAAAGCTTTTTGAATTATCAAATAATGTAACTTTTAAACAAATTTTACTATTATTATAAAGATTTGCTCTTCATCCTTCGCCCAAAGGAAAACTATAAATCTTGTCTCAACTGAATGAACACCATTTATCATATTCATTTTGTTGTCAATACAATTATGAAAAGCCTTTGGCCTTCTCCCAAGGAAGCTGATTTGCTACCGAAACTCAATTATTATAAGCAAGGTCAGTACCAAACCACCCCATTTGGCAATCTAACACAGCTTCCTGCATAACTGACATTTTGCCCTCGCCCCAGATCCTAATAACTTCAACAGTTGTGGTCAAATGAAAGAGACAAAGGTTTGCAGTTCAAAACAAAACATTAACTCCCAAGATTTTCCATTTGCTATTTTCTGCCATCTGCTGGACAAAAGTTTCATTTCAGATAGGCTCCCCACTCCCCCATCAAAAAAAAAAAGGAGCTAAGGAAATAAAATGTGTTTTTAACATTAATTAAGAATTAAATTACAATATTTTCTCTAAATTTTGGACAGTATCAGTTATGGTAGATATTTCTTTGACATGGAAGGGAAGGTTTCTGACACTGATTCTTCATTAAAATTGTTGAAGAGAACAACATGAAACGCTAATTGCTGAACAACATGAAACGTTAACTGCTGAAGAGCATAAAGTTGTCGCTTGGTTTCAAGATCACTATCAATATTACAGTGCCAAAAAAGACTATTATGAATTTTCAAAGAAACGAAAGTTTCGACTTTGGAAGCTGCTAATTTATGTTTAGAGAAATAAAAGGGTCAAGCTGAGTACAGTGGTGCACATCTGTAGTCCCAGCTGTTTTGGAGGCTGAGGTAGAAGGGTTCCTACAGACCAGCAGTTTGAGTCCAGCCAGACAACACAGCAAAGTCCTATCTCTTAACAAGAGGCATAGAAATAAAAGGGTCATATGTAATTCCAGTACAGTCAGTTGAGAGAATTTTAAAACTTCCCATGTTAAAATTGACAATTTCTGAAAATTCACATTATATGCTGACATAAAGCATGTGTATCATTCCTCAATGACACAAAAAATCTTATTGCTAACTCTTCTCTGGGCACATAAATCTGATGAAATAGATTTTAATAGTAACTAAAAATATAAGCAACTACTCAAATTAATGTTTAAAGATGTTTGTAATATGTAGAATTCTCCCTAGAACATGTCTAAATCCCGTTAGTTTATGTTTTTGGCTACAACTGTGGCACAGTAGTTGAAAACTGCCTTTGAGAAGTTTCTTTTGCCACTTAATTTACAAGCAAGTTTGAATATGAAGAGTTGGAACAACGCAACTGAGAAGTAGTGTAACTTAAAGAGTTAATTAGCTTTAAGACTATATTATTCTCATGGGCTCTGATGGTTTCATGTATAAAAAGTATGAAACCATTATAACACTTATGAATTGTATAAATTGTCACTTCTTTTTGAGATCAAAGATGATTCATACAACATATTAAAACATTATTAATAGTCATTTACAACTACTGAAAATGTGCCAGATATACAGAGTGCATTACCTATTTTAATGGTCACAATAAGCCATGATATTAGATTAATTGTTTTCACATGAGAACACTAAGTTTTAGGTGAAAGTACTTGCCATGGTTTATAATACATGAAAAGCTGGGATTTCAAGCCTAGTCTTTCTGATACCAAAAGTCTATGTGCTTTTTTACTCTTACATGACGAAGCATTTCTGCAAAATATTTTTTTTGGGGATCTGTACTAACCCTTGGCAAAGGTAAATTCAAATTTTATACCAAATGAAAAAATCTGGCCATTTATTTCACCCTTTCCATGTCCATTAATTTTCATGATGATGAACAACTGTGGTATGCCGGGTGCGGTGGCTCATGCCTGTAATCCCAACACTTTGGGAGGTGGGAACGAGAGAACTACCTGAGCTCAGGGGTTCGAGACCAGCCTGAGCAACATGGCAAGCCCTCTTCTCTACAAAAAATCAAAAAATTAGCTTGGTGGGTGCGGTGGCGCATGCCTATCGTTCCAGCTACTTAGAAGGCTGAGGCAGAAGGATTGCCTGAGTCCAGCAGGTCAAGACTGCAGTGTCTGTAAGCATGCCACTGCACTTCAACCTGGGGGACAGAGGAGTGACTCAAAAAAAGAAAAAAGAAAAAGAAAAACTGTGGCATGATAAGTTAGGCAACGAGATAAAATGATCTTCCTATCCCTGCTAATTGAGATAGAGACTCAAATCTCCTTGAAAATATCAACTGGTAGGATTCATTGATCCTTAGTAAAGATGTTAGTCAAATTATTCCTTCAACTCCAACATAAACAATCATTTGGGGAAAGTGATTTTTAAGTTGTCAATATTTAATGGCACCAAAAAAGTGACCTCTCTGAGCTGGGTCTCCAAATGCTGTGCTCAGTTATCTGCACTGCTGCCACTGTGCTGTAATTTTTAGCTGATTACACATTAGTTCATTTAGCTTTGTTTCCTCTTCCCTACTGTGCCATACTATTAAATGAAAGCGAAGGGCCTGGCATCCCTCTGTGCACAGAGCTGGTATTGTCACAGTGTAATAAGGATACATCCAGTCAAACAGCATGGTGTAGCTGGTCTTTGTGTTCAGTGCAAAGGCAATCCCTCGAAGATCTCTTGCCAGCCCGATCAACATACGCTGTCAGTGGGAAAGAGACACAGTAATTGATTTTCACGTTAGCGCAGAGCAGATGGAGTAATAATCAGGCAATAATGACCACATATCTGATTTTGATTCATTAGCTAAAATGTCTTGCTCAGATCTCTTTCTATAGAAAACCATAGACTCTTTAAACAAACAGACCATCAAATCTGCTGACCGATTCCACTTTGTTTCTTAGAAATGGAGCTAAGTCATAATTCCAGTAGCTTAGCTAAACATTCAGACTCTTAATATAATTTCTTTCCAAATAATGTTAAATTGGAAAAAAGACCAGAATTGATAATTTCACAAAACAGATATGCACAAGGTTCAGACATTATTTAATAACAGCAAATCTTAATAATATTGGTCTGCATGAAATCAGTCCCACCACACCAATTTAGAGTTCATCCTGAAAAAGCACTGGCATTTATCGATTCCTAATGAATATCCTTACTATCTTTAGGACAAAATAAAACTGGCCAGGTAAACTACTGATACTGTGATATACCCAGAATAGCAGTTGCATTCCCCAAGCAAGGAAAAGGTGTAAGGAAAATGTTCTGTATTTGATATCTTAAGACTTGAATTTTAATCCCAGCTTTAATTAGCTCTCAGACTTTAGGCAGGACAATTTATCAGGCTTAGTTTTCTCATCTATAAAAGGGGCTAATAACGTCTCTTTCGCAGAAGTATTGTGAGAAATAAACTGATGTGAAAATGCCTAGTAGGAGCATGATACATATTCCATAAGCATTTAGTTCTAGAGGAAAAAACCCAAAAACTTGACTCTTGAATAAAAGAGATCTGACTTATACTTTGGACTCCTAATTAAGCTGTCCTTAGGATGATACATGGGAAAGAGAAAAAGAAAACCCGTGAACAGATGCTAGAATGTCAGAACAAAGAGTGCAAATAAACATAATTGCAAAACAAGGGGGTGGGATAATTGAGATATACAACTGTGATGTTTGAAGACACTGTTTCAGTGGTAATATTAGGCCAGAAAGTAGTATCTGAACTTTTCTTTTTACCAAACTTTCTCTTGTCTCACATTTTAGTAATAAATGAAAACCTGTTTAAGAAGAGTTTAAATTATCACTTAGGAGAGATTCTGAATCCTGACCCTCATCTTAATGGCTGAATAACAACATTTCAAAGTAGCAGATAATAGTTTACATTCTCAGTAGTTGGAATTCTCATTCTCCTCACTCTATGTAAAAGGTGATTCAATATAACTGGATGTTGCTTATAAGAATATTCATTTTTTATACTGTTTAATAGTTTATATTATAATGGCTGTCTGAATTTCTGAATCTGAAAACTCTGAATTTCTGTTTCAGCTTCTTTAAATCACTTACTCCTTTTTCTCTCATAACCTCACCATCCTTGTTTTTCTGTAACCAGCTGCCCTCCTTGTAGTTTTGAGTGACTATTTAAGAAACAAAAAACAAAAAAACATTTTGCCCTTTTTATAGCCTTTACAGCACCTGGAACCTGTTCCTCTTTCTCAGCTTTCCACATTACTTACAGCCTCTAGAACAAAATACACCTTCTAAGAAGCATTCTTCTAACTATTCTATTCTGACTACTTGACTTTGTAGTCTTTCTATTAAAGTGGCCATTTTGCTCCATTTTTATTATGTATGCTTACAAGTTTCAGACTATTCTTCAAGTAATCTTATCATCACTGTACTCGGATCAGTTGTACTTTCTTTGTACCTAGTACAAAAGGCTCTTAATAAAAAAATTTAGGTTATTTATCCTCATGATCTAAAAAAGGTTAATTGTTATTTCAGCACAATTTTTCTTCTTATAAGATGCCAAATTAATAGAAGTGCTCTAATTGACTCAAATCTGTGGGTTTTTAAAAATGCAGTACAATGTAGCTATGAAATTGTATCAATGTTTTAGTCTAAAAAAAGTTACTATAGGGAAGAAGCGTACAATAACTAAATGTATGTTTTATATAAATTCAACTGGACAGAAAAATGCAGTGTTAATGTGAATAAGAAATAGATTCCTTTTGCTCAAAAAATATCTTTTATTTCAAAGCAGTAGCGAATGCTGTAATTATCTACACAGATAAACCACTAAGAGAGTCTTTTCTCAATAGACAAAACATACCCAGCTCTGTTATGAGACAGAAAAGCTGCTAACAAGGAGCTCAACCAGGTTACTAAATAATCCAAGAGAGGGTAGTGATCTTATTGAAATTTAGGGGAGGAGGAGCCATAGTTTACCATCTCATTTAAAATAGTACAAAGAGGTTTCCTTTAAAAGTTGCCTTTCTCCTTTGGTTGGTTAACACTAGGCTGATCCAATCTAGTAGAGAGGCTCCTGTGTTTTTAGAGAGGCTGTTTTGGGGAGTGGGATGGTCTGGGGATCTAATCCTATGGATTTCTTTTTTGGATAGTTAAGGAGAAACTGCTGAGTGCTTTAGTCTGCTGCATGGTGAACTTGTCTGTGTGCCAAGTGTGAGATGAATGGGCTGGGAAACAGCTGAAACGAGGCTCCTTCCACCCTGACCCCCAAAACAGGGTTTCTAATGGAAAGTCTGACAGACCCTTTACTGTAGTGGCACTACTGGGGGCAGCTATAATATTATCCTCATAATTCTACTATATAATAACAACAAAGAAAAAGAAGGTTAAGGGTCATTGTGCTTTGTCTTTAGAATTAAGATGGCTGTCTTCATCCTTATAGCATACTCTTAATTCTGAAGACACATCTTAATAACCTCTAAATAGTTCCAACAAAAGAGCCGTGTCAGAGGAATGAGCAGGCCCCAAGGTGTTTCAACTGGAGTGTTTTCATCTGCCTTTATTGCTCTATCCCTCTCCAGAATTAAGGCAATAACCTGTGATAAATTATTCAGGAACTGCTACAGGGATCAAAGCAAAATCATTCTGTTAAAGTGCTGTTTGCAACATTTGGCACTTAGTGCGAAAACTTTTAATGTGTGCATGCTGAAAATCAAGGATTTTAAATAATTTAACATTGTGGAGTTTTTACGAAGAGACTAAAGATAGCAGGTTCCTATTTAACTGCTCCTCTTTCTCTGAGAAGTTTTCATTCATTTTCCTTAAAACCAATGACGTCATGGGCCAAATAAAAAATGATGCATGAGTCAGAGAAGTATTGGACTATATTTTACTACGAATACAATCGCAGGGGGAAAACATATATTTTGAAATAATACTCTAAAGCCAAGATTTGTCACGGTATTTTTTTTTTTACTTTTCCCTTTACTTTGAAGAGAAAAACCCAAGACAAAAATTCAATATTTTCTTCAATTCTATTAGGACTAAGTAAGAAAACAAAGCTATACATTCTTAAATTTAAGAGTTTAGCAGCATTTTCTCCTCTCATAACTATATTTCAATTTGGCAACATAAGTCCTTAATGTTTAAGTTCATCCTAAAATCTGCATTTGAAAAATATCTATAAATAGGGAGTTAGAAAATCTTGGTAAGGGTTGCAAATTAAATGAATTTGGCAGTCCTGTGGCATTTTCAGAGAGATATTTTAACAGCATCACCTCCTGTGGATTGGAATACTAAATACTTTATTGAAGAACAAAACAGAAATGTTTTTATCTCTAGTACTTGCAAAATGAAGTACCTGAAAGCACTTTTGTATGTATTATTTATTCATCATGATAGAAAAATAGGCTTAACCTAATAAATTACATTTAAAAGCATTTAGTGCAAAAGTTTTGTTTATGATAAAGCAACAGATTTAGTTCTTTATCGGTAGCTTAAAGCACCAAGTTTTCTTTATACAAATTAGACAGATGGTGCTTACAGTAGAATTTACTAAAGGTCTGTCACAACAAATGCAGCCAAGCTGCATATTTAATCACTGCAGAATCTTGTCTACCTGCAGCTGCCAACTGCTAATCCAATTTCCCTGATAAATGTGGCAAGAGACACGATCAGCAATAAAGAGCATCTAACTCCATTTTCCTGCAGGGCGTCTTTTGATGAACATTTAGGACGGAAGCACGGAGTGCACTGTGTGGCCTTGGTTCGTGGCAGCTGCATGCATTCTGAGGCACAGTTCTCAGGTTACTCACTTAATTCTGCCACTATCATTACGTTGCTATTGATCTCAGTAGCTGTTGCCTACACAGCATTACTCTAGATGAAGCTGAATCAGGCAGTTATCATGCATCAAACTTGCTCAAAAGCCTGGAGATTTCCCCTTAATTACTTGTGATTTTATTTGCAAATACCGTTAAAGTGTAATCAAGCAGTCACTTTCCAGGGTCGTTAAGAACTTGCTGGTTTAGGGATATATCACTGGAACTCCATTAAAAATGACTGTAGGAAGACGGTTTCTATCAAACTAGATGGGATTACATCAAAACAGGCTTGGAATATAATGGAATATTCAAATGAGAACATAATTTTTATAAAGATGATGCTTTTCAACTTCACTGTTTCTTTTTGATAAAGGGCAATAGCCACCTTAAAGCTGCAAAGATTTTGTTGGTAATTAAAAGTATTTGGAAGACATCTAAAAGATGTAGCTGGGCAACCTCTCGGTCCCTTCCTGCTCTAGAAGCTTTTCTGTCCTCTCAATAAATCCTACTTTCTTAAAAAAAAAAAAAGATACAGCTAACCTGAGTGAAAAGTCTGGTGAAAGTTTTTAGGAAGACTATAAACACACACAAAAAATCTGTACAAATCTGTTTGGTTTTAAAGTTCTATGACTATGTCATACTGATAAACATTCATTTCAAAAACTATTTTAAATTAGAAGATATAGCATTAGCTAATTATTTTTGATAGAAAAATTACATAAAAATAATCACCAAAGGCCACCATTTTCCTCTTTGGCTTCGAATAGCTAATTTTTTTCAGGAAAGAGAAGCCATGCAAAGGATGGTTAATGTTTCCAAATATTTCAAATGACAATAAAATATATGACTCAAGCATCACCAGCAAAGGTGTTCACATTCTCTGGAGTGCATTTATTAGTCTGTTAAAAATAATAATCAGTGTCAATTTATTTAATATTGTTCCAATACATTATAATTTCAGGAGATATTATTTCTATTTAGCAGACCGTGTGCTTCCCATCCCCCACCTTAAAATATGGAGCTGTTTTGTCACAGACAGCTTGCTACACTTAAGGATTTTACTAATAAAACATAATGTTGTCTTAGATATTATGACTGTTGCCACAGCTGAACTGACTTGTCAAATCAATCCTAATATGGCTCCCACAGGCACATAAAAACCTTATTTAGCTATCAGTTATCCTAATCACTTTGTTCAGTTTAAGAATGCAATACTTCAAGACCAGTTCCTATTTATACATATATGCCTAGCCATTTAATAAAGTCTTGATTTATATAAATTCTTGTTTAAAAAATATTTAGAGATTTAGTGTTTTATCATGTGTATGTTTGTGCATTCCTCCATATAGATATACTGAAACACACCGTGCAGGGTAGTTGAGAGAACAGAGATGTTTAAAGTGGCGTAACCATGAGAAATATTCTAATATTAAAGATAGTAACTACCACAGGAGACAAATCTGTACCATCTAATTCTAAACAAACTGACCAAAACCATTTGCTGGCCTCAAAGCCCATTTGTATAAGAAACTAGAAAAGTGCTTAGATAAAAGTACAATTCAAAAGACACATGCAATTGGGAAAGAAGGTCCGAGGAGGCACAGAGCACATGCAGATATGCAAAACCTTTTTCTGGAACCAGCTATCCCAGAAAGAACAAAATGGTCTTTCCTCATGTTTGGAAACAAACCCACCTTTACATCTTCTTGTTTAAAGTTGTTGTTGAATATTTGTAACACTGTTTCAAAAGTAACTGTAAGAGGTAGCATGAAATTCTCAAATTCATCCTCATCTTCGCCTATCAGAGAAACAAAAGGGTCACCATGGTTTAAAATGCATGGTATTGTACATCAGCCTCAGCACTGAGTGCTTCATTCAGGCTTAGAAATGTTCCCAAGAAGGTGTCAGGCTGTATTCACATCCATGCCACATTTTGTGTTTTGGCTCATTGAATATTCTGGTGTTTTGCCTTCTCTTTTGCACCAAATGAAATAGCAAAATTACTTACCAGCCATTTTTTTTCTGGCTCTTTATTGGATCTAACAGATTAATGCCCCAGGCATCTCAGTCCTTTAGCTCCTAGGGCCCCTAGAGCTTCCTTAGTGCCTCAAGGAAGGCCACTTTCAAAGACTGAGAGACAGGGTCCTTTTTTTCTCCTTCTTTTTAGGTGCCAAGGCCCTAAAGGGCTCACAGACTCAGGTGCCCAGATAGCTCTAAGTTATTATTCTCTTTTATTTATGTTCTTTTTATTAATTTGTTAAATACATGGCAGGGAAACTTTTATCTGCCAAAAAGGATAGGGTCCCTTATGAATCATTTGGATTTTAAATACATTCTCCATGGGTACACTTCTAATACTAAGCTTCCTTTTTTTTTTTTTAAATAGAAAAGAGGGAAAAGAGAAATTTCCTATTAATTTTTCACTTTAAAGGTAGACTGTAACTTCCTTAAGGATATTGTCAAAACAGGAATCTTTACTTCATACATGGATATACATAACTGATAATCTATACGGTATTCTTTTCAAAAGGGGCTTCTTTTAAATAAGAAATTGAATTCTCTTATTCATCCCATGCTACAGGGAGCTACAAGCCCCACTTTACTAAAGAAACGGCAGAGAAATGTTAGGTGTCTTGCTTAAGGTGGCATACTTAGTTGGAGGTACAACTGTATGGTTCAGACCTCCTGATTTCTTTGCTTCTTTATAGAGTTTTGTTTTTTTTTAATGGAACATTAGAGAGGAAATAAGCTCTCAGAGACGAGACCAGTGGTCCTCAAAGTTTGGTCCTTGACCTACAAGCATCAATATCACCTGCAAACTTGTTAGACACAAATTCCCAAGGTTCCATCCCAGAAGTACGAATCAGAAACTCTGGGGGTGGGGTCTAGCAATTTTGTTTTGTTTTAACAAGTACTCCAGGTGATTCATATGCCTGCAAATGCTTTAGAAACACTGCTTATACACCATTTTACAGACAAAGAAACTGAGGTCTTGGCAGGATCAGGAGGATCCCTTGACTTTTAAGGAGTGGCTGAACTGGCTGAGTGATCTTTTGTGATTTCTCTCTTCCCTTCAACCTCACATACTTTGTTTCAGAAGTCAAACAGACTGGGAGACTTAATTTTGTTCACAAAGAGATGCTGAAAAGCCAATGAGTCTTTTCTCATGTGCTGTTCTAGACACAGGTCAGGTCCTGGGTGAAGAGTAAAGCAGATCAAATTATAATCCCCTCTCTATCAACTGGCTATGTGACCATGTTATTCCTCTTAGATGCACCCTCCTCTGTCAACTGTTGATAACGTTAGACCTATACAGATAATATTTTTATTCTTCAGGTCAAATGATATCTTTCTCAATGTCTAAGCTAATCTCTCTCAAGTCCCAACTGAGTCCTCTCCCTTTGAACTCCCATAACATTTTGTCTGATTTGTTAGTATACTATCAGTCTGCTTTGTATTGCAGATATTTAAGCGTATATCTAATAATAACAACAATGGCACCTACATTATATCACCACTACCATCATTTTATCAGGGTTACTGTGGGAATTAAATGAGATAAAATGTATAATGTATATATATAACAACCAGCGCTACAAGCATATACTGATGTTATGCTCAGATCAGCTTCTGCAGAGCTGAGACTGCATCTTTTTGTGTTTCTCAGTGAGGGAGAATGATGTAGGGTTCTGCAGTCAACAGGTCCAGGTGTCTAACACCACCATATAATGTTTACCTTTGGATACCTTACCACTCTGAGTCTCTGTTTCTTCATATACATAAGGATAAAAAAGTACCTATCTTTGAGGGTTATTGTAAATATTGTTATAATAATACATGAAAAACAGAAGATAATAAATAGTAGTTGGTAGTGCTAGTTATTATATTATTAGCACAGACAGAGCCTGGCATATACTACGGAAATACTGTGTTTGCATGAAAAGTAGTTGCTCAATAAAGGTGAATTTTAAAAAGTCCTTATTTCTTAACACCTGATATAGAATAATATAATAAATAAATGAAGTAAACCTTATCAAATCTTAAAGTCATTATATATGTACATTATATTTATGCCATGTAATCTTACTCTTCTAAAACATTTTTTTAAATGTGAAATTATTAATGAGAACAGTGACAATTATCACCATAGGTATATAAAGGTGCTAGAAACAATAAATACTTTGAATTTAGAAAGTTTGTCTGAACTTAGCTGGGTGTGGTAGCATGTGCCTCTGGGAGAGTTGCTTGATCCCAGGAGTTCGACATCAACCTGGGCAACACAGCAAGATCTTGTTTCAAGAAGGAGGGAAGGAAGGGAAAGAAAGGAAGGAAGGAAGAAAGACAGGAAGGCAGGCTGGCTGGCTTATCTAAGCTTGAATGTTAGCCATCTGCTTTTGGGTAAAGTCACTTCACTCATCTATGCCTTAGTGTCCTCATCTGTAATAAAGAGACCCAGTATTTACTTCATAAAGTTAGCTGTGAGAATTAAATAAATGACAAAACATCTGTAATTCCCCTTGCTAAGTGCCTGGCACTTAACAAATGGCAACCATTAGCACTTTTGTTGTCTTGAGTTTAACATGGACTTAGAGAGGTGATTATGGTAATCAAAAAAAGTATGAATACAAGCTTGTCAGTCCAGTACCCTTCTTTTGGGAACAAAGCTTCTCTAAGGTAAAGATGTTTATTCAGAACAAAGACCAATTTACAATGGCAACATTTCAACTCCTTACTTAATATTCTGAGCTACAGATCAACAAACTTCCTCACTCCACCTCATTCACCAATCAAATTTTGAGGCAAACAGAGATAACAGGAGCACAAGACACAAGCCACCAAAATGTGCAAGAAGAAGTCAGGGAGCAAATACTATAAAGACAGTAATATGAGCAGCAATTCCATTTAAATGTCACTTCCTCAGAAAGGCCTTCCCTGACCACTCTATCTAAAATGATATCCACAGTGCCCCCGACCCTTATCACTTTCCCATCCCATAACCTGCTTTACTTTTCTAGTGGGACTTACTATGACTGGCTATTAATTTACATATTTATTCACTTATTGTTCATTGTCTCTACTAGAATATAAGTTCCTTGGGGGAAAAACATAGTCTATTTTGATTAAGGCCATATCCCCAATGCCTTGAATAAAGTCTGGCACTCAAGAAATATTTGTAGAGTGACTAAGAGTAACAACAGTTACATCCTGGTGCTTACATGCAGGCAATTAATTTGGTACTTTATTTACCTTAAAAACACTTATGTGACTATGTTCACAGCACTGCTGCAAGTCATTAATGGTCTCAACAATCCCAGGAAGTTGCTTGATTTCCTTTGTTTTACATGTGAACAGAGAGGCTCAAAGGAGTTAAGCAGTTTGCCCAACGTCCTCCAGTTGGTAAATGTCAGTGAGTTAGGATCCCTAATCAGGTCTGCTTTACTCTCAAGTTCATGCTCTTCCCTTTATGGTTCTGATAAAGTGGAAGGCATCAGAGGTGGGGACTAAAGTTATTGTCACAGAATCCTGAATTTGGAGCTGCATAAAGTCAGAAGACGATGAAAAACAATCAGTGTGGTTCTGATGAGGAAAAGAGAATTCCTAGGCAATCATTTGAGTTTAAGGTAGACAGATGTGAGCCACTGGTGCATCATTACTACAGAAATGTTTATGTTTTAGTTAGCACTGTTCCTTCATTATTGCAAAGTAATATGCTGCACTACTTAAGCTGGAGAGCTGGACATTTTTTGTTTACAACATACAAACAACTTTATACAACATCTATTAAAGATTTTTCCTCATTTGTTTTACCCATAGAAGTATCATATGCTATTTCTGATGTGAAAGAAAAAACCAAGAGCTCACTGTCTTTTAACTTCATATTCAAGTATGCACTCATATATTTAGTATGCCAAATGTGATTATTTTATGACTAATAATTGAAACTGCCAGATTTTTCTAACAATATAAAGGTCCAGAAACCAATATGATTTGAAGGTAAAATGCCAATTTATAGACAAATATTTTTATTTCCATCAGGAAAATGTAAGTTCTTGGTCATGCATAGGTAAAAATAATAAATTCTTCAGCTTTTAGTTAAAACCCAAAGCTAGTTACCTACACTGGGTTTCTGAGTATTTGATTCAACAGAAAGTTATTCATTTTCTAAGTTCTAAACATTTTTTTCCTTCAGAGAAGTCATATTAAAATACAGTAGTAGCTCTTTCAGTACGTTGGCTGTCAGATATTTTATTTGTGGGGCATTTCATTTATTATCTTGTACAATTTAAAACTTCCAGTAGTGGACTTGGGAGGCTGAGGTGGGAGGACCACTTGAGCCCAGAAGTTCAAAGCTACAGTGAGCCATGATTGCACCACTGCATTCCAGAGACTCTGTGTCTCAAAAACAAAAACAAAACCCTACAGTGGTGGCAACTTAAATGGTACAACCAATGTAATATGGTTCAGTCTCTGTGAAAACAGTTTGGCAGTTACTCAAAAAGTTACAGTTGCCATTTGAGCTAGTAGTTTCACTCCTAGGTAATTACCCAAGAAAACAATGTCTATGTCCACACAAAAAACTGGTATGCAAATATTCATAGCAGCATTATTTCATAATAGCCTAGCCAAAAGGTAGAACCAACCCAAATGCTCATCAACTGATAAATGGATAAACAAAATGTTAGTACATCCTGGTCAGATGCAGTGGCTCACACCTGTTATCCCAACACTTTGGGAGGCCAAGGTAGGAGGATCACTTGAAGCTAGGAGTTCAAGACCAGCCAGGACAACATAGTGAGG